GGCACGAGCGGAAGTCTTTAATTTACAGGATTTGTCCCATTCTGCCTCATCTGCTAACTAAATTCAAATTTAAAAGGGGGTTAATTTGAACGCAAACCTGATCTTTTCATTTTCGGGATTTTTAAGGATTTGAAAAGATCAGGTTTTTGTTCGCATTAACCCCCTTTTAAATTCGAATTTTATCAGATGAGGCGGAACGGGACAAATCCCGTAAATTAAAGTCTTCTGCTCGTCCGGTTTATTTCCACTTTCTCCCTGGGACTCCCCTTGTGATAACGTCCTAAGAAACAAAAAATGCAGAAGCTATTTATCAACAGGCCACTGATTATTATATGTTAGGATCCCTACCTTTCCCCTCTCATTTGCATGAATCTGTAGAACATTTAATGGGACATTAGGTATATGTTTACGTCATTGTCCATAGGAGAATTTGCTGTTATACCTTGATATTGTGCTCCCTTAGACAGTGGCAGTCATTTAGGGCCTTTGCAGACTGCTAGAAATAGTGCAAATTGAGTCCACTTTAACTGCCCTGGCTGAGTGCTAGGGAATCATGGGAACTGTATTTTTTTCTGAGACATTGAGCCTTCTCTGTCAGAGAGCTCTGGTGCCACAATAAACTACAGTTCCCTTAGTTGTGCAGCCTGAGCCCCGTTGCTCATGGGCAGCTCCTAGGAGTTTACTTCCAAGCAAATTCATCTCGGTTGTATCCATAATAGGGAGAACCCACCAATACTATTACATTTGTTCACCATTAATATAGGTTAGCACCAGTCATGTATAGACAGAACCAGAGCTTGGAAAAGTGATGTTTTTGGACTACATCTTCCAGAATGCCCCAGGTTAACTGGTGGATTCTGGAAGTTGTAATCCAAAAAGTCGCCTTTTCAGGCTGTGAGTAAAACCTGTGTTATGCATGAATAAGTGCAGATCCTCAGATATTTTAAGAATGTGAAGTCGTAGGCTTTCATGGCCGGCATCCATAGGTTTTTTGTGGGTTTTTTCGGGCTGTGTGGCCATGTTCTAGAAGAGTTTCTTTCTGACGTTTCGCCAGCATCTATGGCTAGCATCTTCAGAGTTTTCTCTGAAGATGCTAGCCATAGATGCTGGCGAAACGTCAGAAAGAAACTCTTCTAGAACATGGCCACACAGCCCGAAAAAACCCACAAAAAACCTATTTTAAGAATGGTTTAGAAATATGAATGTTGATTAAAGCATGTTGGAGGTAACTTACTTCTGTGACATTGTCTTGAATATGCATATATAGGATGTACTGTCTTTCTGTAGGTCTTTCATATATGCAGTCTAGTTTTAAAATAGAATTTTTCTGTCTCATTGCTTTGTTGTGTAGCTGTGGATACAACAGTGATTTGTTTTTGGTGAATTAGAGCTCACTTCTAATAAGACTCTTCAATGAGAATAAAGATTCTCGGTGGTGCCAGTGCCCATTAAACAGATCAAAGCAGTGTGAGTTATGTCCGACTCAATCTTCTGGCAGGTCAGTGTAGCCTTTATTTAATGCAGCAACAATAGGAGGGTGTGGCTGGGTCACCAGTGCAAATCTATTTGGAATGGGATAAGAAATTCCTCCATGCTGGATTGGAGCTGCAGAATGTGCCCCTCTCAGGCCATTAACTTGCTTATCCATTCTGAAGTTGGCTGACAAAAGGCTTTGTTGGTATCTTCTAAAAAGACCAATTGCATCACTATAACAAACAGAAGATGCAATGTTTTCCTAGTGTCTAAGGTGTGTCTGTGCTGTATG